GGCCCTAACCTTTAGGCTCAAAATCGCCCAAGCTTCCACCTGAACCCCTTAAACGCGAATCCTTACAAGACCCCAGCTCATGCAGCCACCTGAGCCATAATCAATTCTTTTTAAGGGGGTTATATAGGGGATTTTTTGGGGGTAGTATTATACGGGAATACTAGGAGTTTAGGCTATGGCCCACATGGGAATTTCCATAGATGGGGCATTCCGCCCTCAAATCCCAAGATAATTTTCCTTCATGGGCACCCCCACCTTGCAACCCTAAATTTCTGGACCCCTGCTTACAGTTCAATCTTTAGCTGAATCAACACCATTTGATCCCCCAAGACAAAGAGGTTGCTTGTGGCTTGTAATTTGAGTTGTTACTTCACTCCACTCCAGTGGGAGCCGCGAATGATTTCTTGCCGAGACTGCCGAGATTTGTTCCGAACTGGTGCTTGGCTTGTATCTTGCCTGGCGTTTATGCAGCAATTGTGGTTTATAGCTGGTTATATTAAACCCTAAACCCTAAACCTTAATTATCATCGCTATCGCGCGCCCGCCTCGGCTGGCGGGGCGTGGAGCACACGAATAGGTTATATATATATATATAGTTATACATAGCCCTTAATATGAGCCCTAATGTACACTTTTGCAGGGTGGAGGACAACACCCTATCTACATTTCCTTCACATATTTCCTTAACAAATCCCCATAGTAATTCCCCCCTTTACTACCACCCTCTTTAGGTTCCGCTTACTTTGCCTGCTCTTTTCCCTGAGCCGCCTAACCTGACCCATAGATGAGTGACCTAGACCATTGGATTTCTTGGTAAAGATACCAAAATATTAGGTACGAAGCCCCTTTATTCCGGGGTCCATGGGGGTGCTAGCCCTAAACCCTGCACCCTAAACCCCAAACCACCAAAAAGAACCTTAAACCCACAAAGCTGGCGTTTGTAACAAGGTGTAGCTCTCGAGCATGCTTCTGCAAAAGAAAAAGCCTGGATGTAGGGGCCTACATGGACATGTAGACGTTGTATAGGGTTATACAAGGGACTGCATAGGGTTTAGAGGTATAATTCTAATAATCGCTCATCAAATGGAAAGAAGAATGGAACATGACTTGCAACTGGGATCACTCAAGGGCGTACAGAGGGGCCTAAATACTTGCAAAGGTTGTCGTTCTTGTTTCCTTTTATATGATTATGGCGAAGTAAAAATCCCTGTCTGAACCATAAAGCCAAAAAAATACATGAACCCTAAACACCTCAACATGGTGTTGGTACTTGTTGATGGCCTCTACATGACTCTGCCTCAAGCTGAAACGAGCCTAATGATGGCTTATTTCTGGGTACGCTGGTCTATATAAGGGACCCAAAGAGGCCGTACTTTTGAGGCCTACCATACGAGCTACAGTCTAAACTCCTTAAAGGGGGATTATATATTCTCGGGGGGGATACCAGGAGTTTGGAAGATAGCTCATATGGGCTCCCCTGAAAGGGACACTAGCCCCTGAACTGATTGCATTGGCACCGAGAGGGCAAATCCGAGGAGCTCAGAAGGTTCTAGAGCTGCGGGGTTTTGCTCCCAGTTGCCTCAACAGTAGGCTTAGGGCTTAGGGTTTAGGGGTTTGTGGTTTAGGGGTTTAGGGTTTAGGGTTTAGGGGTTTAGGGTATATAGTACCCAGAACCCATTATTTAGGTAACTGGAGCCCCTAAACCCTAAACCCTACCCTAGGGTTTGCTGCGGACAAGAGAGGTGCTGGTATTTTTTGCCCTTGCTGCAGCTGTCTTCTGGTCTGAGTGGCAGCGGAGGCTTGAAGCAGAGTGCCTGGGCCGACTTTCTTTCTTAAGGATTAGGATTAAGGGGTTAGGTCTTCAGCACTGCAATTTTGGGTTGAGGGTTTAGGGTTTAGGTCTTCAGGACTTTAGGGTTTAGGTCTTCGGGACTGTAGACTTTGGGGGGGTTAAGGGTTTAAGTCTTCAGGACAGATGTTTAGGGTTCAGGGTTTAGGTCTTTAGGACTGCGTTTTAGGGTTCAGGGTTTGGGGACCTGGGATGTAGGGTCAAGGGCTCAAGCCTTGGACTGCACGGCTTCGGATTTAGGATTCAGGGTGTAGGGGTTTAGGGCTTAGGGTTTAGGGTTCAGGGTTTAGGGCTTAGGATTCATTTTTTCGAGTTAAACATTGCAATCCGAACCAAACCTCCTCCTCCCCGTCGAGTTCTAAACCCGTAAACCCTAAGCCCTGAGCCCTGAATCCTAAATCCTCAACCCTAAGCCCTAAACCCCACAATCGCATTTTTGGGATTCATGCTCAGGCCTGTAGCTTGCACAAAGCCCGGAAGACAGCAGCACAAAAGCTTATAACGTTCTGCCCTCGCAGCAGAAGCTACAGGGTGGTGCCGGGTAGTTACACAACTACACCTTGAAGCTTAGGGGTGAGGGCCCTAAACCCTAAGCCCTCCCTGCGTATTTTCCTCTTTTTAGAATCTCTCATTCCTAAGCCAGAAACCAGGAAGCCTAAAACGGCAGGTCTAAAAACCAGAAATTGTTTGTTGTCTAAATTCCTTAAGGGGCTTATACGGGGATTATATTATGTAAGGGACGAGTACAGGGCTTAAATACGAAACCCCATAAACCCCGAACCCTAAACCCCAAACCCTACACCCTGAACACTATATAAACCCCACACCCTAAACACTTTACCCAAAACCCTATAAGCCCCAAACCCTAAACACTATACCCACGCAGTATAAACCCCAAACCCTAAAGCCCAAGCCCTAAAGAGGCTTCCGTCCGAGCTGCAGATGGAAGCTGGTCGAAGAAAGCTCGCGGTGTTCATAGCATCTTGCTTTCCGTTTAGAGCCTTGAGGAGTGGAATTCCCAAGCTAAGATGGACGGAGAGTTGAGGATTTTGCGTTTTGTGTTTTGGGTTTTAGCTTTTAGGGTTTAGGGCTTTGGGCTAAGGAATGTGCAGCAGGTCTGGTTCCTAGTACCCTACAGGAGAATCTATCGGTTCGAAATCTTTATACACGTATGTACATACCACTCCAGCCCCTGAGGGCCCACGCCCCAATTTCACAAATTCTAGACTTCAGTCTATAGATCTGGGTTTAGGGTTTAGGATTTAGGGTTTAGGGTTTAGGATTTAGGGTCTAGGATTTAGAGTTTAGGGATTTAGGATTTAGGGTTTAGGGTTTAGGATTTAGGGTTTAGGATTCAGGGTTTAGGACTCAGGGTTTAGGGTTCCTTACACGAGTTAATCCCAGAAGGCCAGGAGACGT